TACTGTGGAACTTAAAACATTTGGTTCCATCATATACCCTAAACAAGATATTCCGCTGATTTGTGAATTACGTAAGGTGAGTAATACTGTTACATGGCTACATGAGGAAATTCTCCAGGTTATATGCTTCCAGTGCATATCACTTCAAATCTGCTCGATGTTGAGAAGTATACTCGCCAAGTATGGGTTTATTGTTATTGATATATTATGCCTGAAATTGTTCTGTCGCATTGTTTTTATTCAGCAGCTACGGGCGATTTGACGTTGCGTGGCGCGCTACTTTTGTAAAGGTTGGGTGTCTATCGCGAATATATGTATCCCGTCATACTCGTACATTCGAGTGTACGACGTTGTGATATATACGCGTGGTGGTATTGTCATGAATTAATTTTCGGGTATCTGTTGACCGACTTATTTAGCTGGTTACTAGTGAATGGCTGTTATATCTGTCATCATTTAGGCACATGCGAGTTCCAAGACGGAACTTGACTCAGTGATTTGGAACTAATTACGATATAACCGTCGCCATCCCGACCGCTATTTCTGACGTTTGGTATTTGCAGTTTTTAATATAGTGAACGATTAATCAAAAGATATGACGTGTCCAATACTTAGTGTGATTGGCTATGTGCAAGTTGAATGTGTGAAGGTTACGCCTTACAGTGTTTAAACTTCTTTGTAATTGGTTAAGTTTTGATACGCAATAAACGGTTTAAGTCCTTGGTCCCAGAGAGAGCTCCACGATGCGCCGGCGAGAGTGTCTTGGTCAGTGCTGGGCAGAGTCTCCGACGAGGCAGTTTGCCTTGAGGCGTTTTCGATGTGGCTAAAGACTAGCTATTGAAACGTATTTCGTTGTGTGCGTCTATTTGACTGTAAAGTTTAAGTGACTTTCCCGGTCCGGTACCTCAAGCAGACGAGATATAGAGACAGACGAAATTTCCCTATGACAGTATACCGGATATTTAGCTTCACTCACCCTGTATCCCATATTACTACTACGTGTTTCTGTATATTTCAGTTTTTATCTTGACATTACAGGGGCATAATTTCCGGGTTTTTTTCAAATGTCGACCTGAACCATTTGGCATACTGAAAAATGTCGAATCGCTTAGTGAACATTATATCGCATCGGTAATAATTGCCGGGACGCATCTTGAAATTAGCGGAGCGAGACGTGAATTACGTCTGTGGATTGCTAGTTGGTCCATCGCCTGGAATGCAGTCATTCCGAATCCACTTTAGATTCACTTGGCCCGGTGAATCGTTGTGTGTGCGTTCTAGTTGGTACACATACCGGTATCAGTGTCATCGCTGATTGCTTGTCTCCATGACTTCAAATTACATTACTATGGGAACAAGCATGTGGGGTCAGACCCGTAGACAGATTCACATTATTTGTTGGCTTGTTAAGGCCTTACGATCATAAACGGCATCTAGTCTATCCATCATTATACCGCTCTGTCCAAATATCACCAAACAAAAATCAGTGTTATAGTTATTATTACCATGAAACAACATTGCAAGGTGTGAGTAAGATTAATTTCAGTGACAGATAGTGGCTCAATCAAGGCCAAGATGTTTTTCACGTTGTGGAAACAGAAAAGCGGCAATATGTTGCGACCAACAACAGTACGGCTTACAACACATCGACCAGGCCGCCTACACGTTCGTACGAACTCCAAACTTTTTGGGGATTTGAAAAATGCTGTATCTTTTTTTCTCGTCTTTGTATTGACAAACCAAGTTTGAATGATTCGAATGTCGGTGGCAATTTTTACACACGTTTCGTGATTTGTTTCAATTTACATAATAAGTAATTGCAGGTGGACGTGTTACATTACATAATCAGCTTATGAATATTCATAACTACACTGTGAATGGTACGAAATCAGATCATTGCCAGTGAATTCCCGATAGAGTAAAGTACAATGTTTGAGCTTGGAGTTGCGAGTTCGAATCTAACTCCCACCGTTACTTCTAAATAGGGTATTTTCTGATAATATATAATAAGAGAGAAGTGACTTTGTATCAAGGTGACTCGTGGTGGTCTGCAGGTAATGTCCGCTGAGGACGGAGCGTTGTAACAATTTTAAAAACACCCCTATATCCCGATATGTCCCTGTACTATATGCTATGCTCGTATTTATATGCCAAGTGTAATTATTACAGGTAACTATAACATAACTTGTAAATCAGACCTTGCACTATTCATTAGTCGCGAGAAGATTGAATACTTTCTTCATTTATTGAATAAATAGTTCGACAAGCGTAGGGTTCTAACCCATCACATAAGACACAATATGCAGAGCCTCTAACGACTACACTGTTGAGAGAACCGAATGAGAATCTGGGAAAATAACATTAGAACGTCATTTTAATGTCACGTGGTCGTTGAATTATTCATGAGCAAGTAACAAAACGTACAATAGATCTTTTATATTTACGTAAATCAGCCCTCGTTCATGGCTGTACATGAGGTCATGACACTGCTGGCTGAACTTCAGGCCTTTATCTTTGTTCGTTCCAAACATACAATCGATAATGTTGGTTTTCATTAATAAACCCACAATTTTGGCGGGTTAGTGAAATTTATTAGCGCGCTCGCGCAATTTATTCGACACTGACCAAACTGTTGGTAAACCCACACTATTGTCTTAGAATTACACATGAGAATAGTATGTGAAAAACATATTTTTATTTTTAGATTATGTTTAACTTAAATAAAAACAATTAGTAAGCTATTAACTTTTTAAAAGGTTAAAGTAAGGGTCGAGCACAATAACATTCCCGCGTTATAAGAAAAAAAAAAACTGGCCAATCGAACACGACGTTGTGCACGGTGCAGCCTGATGGAGGAAATTGTATACAGGTGCATTGGTCGATTTTTGTCATGGTTGGTCCGACGAAATCATTACCGCATTAGCAGCATTCTTATACGGACTTCGCTATCATGATATAGTGGCGACACCTGCTCTACAATGATATGTGTTATCCGGTATGATACACGCTGTATTCAGAAACGCTGTCAACGACAATATTTGAAAAGGTTAATTGATGTGAAGGCATTTATTTATTGTAGTACCCGCTTACATCTCTATACAAACGGCACCAGTTACTGGCACTTTTTTTTGTAATTTTTCATTCAAAGGTTAAAAATGACGGCGATCACGGTTGATTTGATATGGTATAATAATAACATTGTTATTCCCACTAAATGACAGATACACTGTGGATACATTCGGTGATTTCCGAGATAATCATCGTCTTTCTCCTTTTTTGACAAAATGCGTAAATGCTCAACACTACTCACAAATACGTTTAACAATCAGAAAGTGTTTACGTAATAGAACGGCCGAAATAGTCCGGCAGTATTCTGTGTACAAAACCTGAAATGTAACCACAGAATAAGTCTTTTTAGATGTTAATGTCGTTGATGACACTGAATCAAACCGCTCAGATGTAATTGGACGGAAGATTCGGGTTCCCTTGTGAATTGAGAAGAGTTAACAGCGTGCCATAAAAATGATACACAAGTAAAACGTATGTAGGACTTCGACCATGTATGAATATTTCCGGCTACACGTACACATTTCAAGTTCTGCTAAAATCATATGTATCTTTTCAGATTTTTTAAAATGTTAAATAAAGCTAGCGACGACAGTAATTCAGGAAAAGTGTTTATTAAACCTAACCGCTTCCATTTATATCGGCATTATTACGTATTTCAGGAAAATCATACTGGATGCTACCTCCATTTACTTTCTCCCAGCAGTTGCATGAGCTGGGGTTGTCCAACGTGATATCGGTAGATGTGACTACAGTGAGACAAATCAGGGTCGCATCACCTGAGTCACGTGATCCATAACTGAGCCTCAAAAGCGTGAACTTTTAGACCTATATATATATATATTGATAATAGCTCTTGTGCATACTTCCGAAATATAAATATATATATATATAACCAGGTTCGATGTTCCATAAAAGCGTCAGGAATCAAATATTTATAATAATATTTTTAGTTTTTAGTAAAATGCAATACCTTATGCTACAGCAGATTGGTATACAAGATTGCATTGAATCAAACATGACACAAGGCAATATACTAGTGCCTGTTTATATATACACATCATAGTGTGTCTGGGAAAAGTAATACGAAGCATACAACTGATTATTATCCCTTTATATTTTATATTATAGTAAACAATCAATATGGCCCCAATCATACCGAAAATCCTACAATTGGGACCTGTGCCATCGGCAAGTCTCAACTAGGGATTTGTTGTGTAGCTCACAAACAGACTAGGTGTGAGACCTGCTTGTGTCCAAGAAATCAGACGTTGTGTCGAAGCACACGAGACCACACAAATAATCACTGTGTTGTTACGTGAACATGCACAATGCGGGCATAAATAGTGTGACATTTCATAAAGTTATTCATTTACTAACATATTTTGCGATTTGAAAATATCATTCCCAATTGATTTCGAACAAACGTGCGATTGGCAAATGACATGTGTGTGATTCAGTGAAATGTAATATTACACACCAAAACTATTTCAGAATTAAGGAGTAAAACATTGCGATAAGGAGTTGCTCCTTTCAAATCAAAGTTAGTTGACACTCACTGTCAGATATGTGTGAGCGAAACACGTGGTAGTGTATTGTACTGCTGAAATTTTTCATTTTTCAACTTTAGCGATTGATAGTTGTTCTATATTGTGCTTTTGATACAACATTTTTTAGAACGATGATTGGATGGACTTTATGTTTATGACGCCAGGCAGTAATTGACGCATAAGTATTGGCTTCCCTGAAAACAATTTTAATGGGACCCGATCAAGGTTAAGTTCTACAAAAAGTGAATTGGAATTTGCACTCCTTATTGTATCAAATCAAATAGATTTATCGGGAATCTGCATAATTGAAATCCCAGGTACAGCTGTTTGTACTAATTAAACTGAGCAGGCGCAGTGAAACGAAAAAGGTGTTGGTGTATTTTTAAAACGCTGCGCAGTGAAAATCAGCAGTGAATACAGTAACGAGAAAGGCCATTTTCTGAAGGAACACGCACATCAATTTGAAATTCAGTTCACCAAATCAAGGTAAGTAAGTCTAACTGTTTCAATAGTCGTCTTGGAAATCTTAGTTATCAGATTGGCACAATCGATTTTCGGCAAATCTTGGTAAAAGGTAACCGACGAGAGCTCAGTCACTGCCTGACAATGAAATTGAGCATCTGTGGAGATACAACAACTACGCATAATTCGCCATCATATTAGCGGTTACTGTAATCGATATTATCAGATTCAGTCCCTAGAGCATTTCAAAGTTGTTTTTTTCATCTGCTCTGTGACATGTTCTGAAATCTGGAAGATGAAAATAACTGTTCGACGGCTTGGATTACGCGGCCTGCGTTTCGTGACACATCGAGTTGTGTTTTCAAAGTTCGCTTCGGTTTAATATCAGCATCGATTAGGCATATACTCTTCTCCTGAGATCACGATATCCTGTTCTATCGTATCAAGATAATTGGCTGTAGTAGTTCAATGCCAATCCATATTTTTTGAACTTGTGCTCACGTTTATTTTCTTTCGTAAATTACACATCTAGCTGAATCTAGCTTACTTGAAACTGAACTTATAAACGAAAGCAAAAACACGTGAAATTGTAGTCTGATTACTCTTACGGACCTCACGGATTGTGATTATTCACCCTTTTCTCCTCCGTCTCCACCACGGTAGAAATATTGGTTCGTCCCCGTTGTCCTCGTTATGTTGTCCATTTATTCATTATCTATATGTTTTCAATAATCGTGCAAAATGAAAAGACTATTACCATGCATGACTGATTCACTGGTAGTCAAATGTTCCTCTACGCGTAGTGTACGTTCATCCGCACCATGCTTATACATAATCCTTACTATTTTAACTCGCCGGATGTAAAGTGCGTACATATACTCATTTAAATTAAATTTAAATTATGTTTAATATATAGAATACTTTAGTATTGGATGACTTATGATCGATTCGTATGTAACCACTCAAGCGACAAATTCACCGTGTTACTTCGGTATATGTAACTGGCTGTTTTTTGGGGGGAGGCTCGCAACCAGTGTTCCCAATCATGAAAAGAACTGTAGATTTATATATCTCATAAAAATAGCTTCAAGCTTCGATCACGTCGCAATATGGAACGTGTTAACACAAAAATAAAATTTCAACATTTGTACTAAAGTACGTAAAAATAATGGTTGAAATAATGCCTCACTGTAAGACCGAAGAAGAATGCCACCACTGTATTCAACGCTACATTCATAACTTATCCTAAATTCCCGAAAGGGTTTCTTCTTTTGTATTATATTACTCCAAATCGCCAGTGACGTTTCCCCTCCCAGTTGCTTTTCATGAATTAATATATTCGTGCTTCTGTCACGCACAGTACTCAATGAAAAAAGTGATTTAGGTCTTCGTTTGTAGTTCATTTTTTTTACTAAGCGATTCACCTCGACCCGAATCCGAGATGCGTTGTATGCGTGTCCACATTTTCAAATTGATTTCATTAAGTTTACTCATAAAAATATTATCTTCAAATTCATTTCACTTCAAAACTAATTCAAAGTTATTAGTTTTTTCCGAAAAGGAGAATTTGTCGACTTAATCGAAATGAACAATTTGGAAGTGAAATCCAATGTTGTTTATTTCACAATGTGTATTTGATTGATTCCTTTTCTTAACGTTAGTCAGCTGAACGAGAATATGTTTGAAGTTGCCTACTTTCCAAATCGATATTTATATCGCGTAATACGCGCGGGTATTTGAAATAAAATGAGGGACTGTCAGATAATCTAATTCACTCATTAGAACCACTTCTAGTAACCAAAACAAATACCGTCCTCCATGGCATGCTTTAAGCGCCACGCGCAGTCGTCGCGTAGTGCGGTGTATTCGTCGCATTGCACTCGTAACGAACACTTCGCCTTTTAAAATAATATCAACTCAATCACAAACCTCTCATTGTCGAAGGAACTAATTGCTGTATGTGGATATATCTAGTTATATAGCCTTGAGGGGATGTGGCTATGCATGTTTCTAATTTGAACATAATTATAAGAGTCGCCCCTTAGAAATAAAACCGGCAAACTGAGAGCGCACCCACCCCAAATATATTACTAATTCAGCAATCGGCCACTAGCATTGATTAATCACATGCTTTGTGGGTAACGTGTCATATTATTAATTGAAAAGCCAAGGGATCAGTTTATTGTAGCGTTGATAACAAAACGTGTCCAGAATCATTTCAACCTCTTGCAGTCTACCACAAGTCAAATAATAATTCTTGGTCTGAAATTAGATTTTCAGTTTGTTTCTCTTAATAAGGTCTGACAACTTATCGAAGTATTTACTTTAGGCTGTCATCTCAGTGTCAGACCCCAAGAAATTAAACATTGCGTTCGAAGCACGTTATGTGTTTAGGAGTATATGGAGTAGCTACGATGCCGATGAGAGGAGAGTAGAAATAACTAACAAGCCTTGTATCGGCCATATTGATGTGCGGATAGGATAACTCACCAGATCAATACGACCAATTAGTTGTTATCAATCGTTTATGAATTCGCCACAATACAACGGGATTGTTATACTTTTATACATTTGCGTTGAGTTTTTGGACCACTTGGTAATCAGTTTGATGAGGTCAACAACTTCTAAGCTCGTGCGAAGTTACATACTAGCATAGTTATCATCTCATGCAAATAAACAAATGAACCAAACTCTTTTAAGATCTCGTTATGTCTTAAATCTAATATTTATTTGGGTTGTAGTGGCATGATAAACGTTTTTAATGATCATTGGTTGGCTGACTGCGAACGATAAATCGTATTGTATGACGTAACCGAAAACGTCACGTGGTATCTATTGAACGCGCGATTGAAAATAAACGGCTTCATATAAATCCCAATAAAAGCTTAGATTCAGGAAATATGAGAAATAAACATCTACATCTCCGGTGCAATGGGAGTCTTTGGAGCATGCCCCGAACAACTAAGAGTATGCCACTTGCAATGATTTTACTGATTCATTTCGTCATAAAAACGCACTGGTCATGTGAGCATATTTATAGGTCCCATCAACCGTAATACTAACATTGTATGATTTTAAAAGGTTAAGATATAAAATGTAAATGGCCATCTAAAAAACAAATGGAATTTCGGTTTACAGCGGTAATGGACAATGGAGTAGAGTAATGGGAACGTCTTTGTTTGTAGATACGACTCATCTCATCGATCGAGAATTTTTATTTTGCGCGGAATACAAAACCAACATTAGAATCTTGATGTTATTTTAGAGTATCGTGCATTGTTAGACTGCACACTTCCTTGTACAAAAACTGTGTGTCGATAGTCCATTGTGTTCGATGTATTACACCGATGCATTGCATGCTAGGTTTTACAATTATGCAAATTACATCCCGTAGTACAAAACATTTTGAACTTAATATGAGTTCTTCTAAAAGGAGTTGTTTTTTCTAATACAAATTCTTAGTGTGATTTATCTTCAGATGAGTTATTTTTAAATTGTTTACTGAGAATTAAGTACATAATCCCATTACCGTCGTCCCTTTAAAACCAGACGGGTTAACATGATCCACCTGCCCATACTTCGTCGTAACTCTCTTATGGACAAAACGTCACTTTTGTATGAATTATTTATCGAGGTAATACGACACATTGTCATATCATGTATTTATAATATATTTCACCCTCGACGCTTACCGCTCTCGCATCCCCATACTTATTTCCCATAAGGAGTATATATTAATTAGCACCGGCTTACGATCGAGTTGTTTTGAGTTCAGGTAAAGACTGCATAATTGCTTCCACTTAGTTAAATGCTAGTACAAAGTCTCGGATATAGACATCAACATGAAAATTAAAGCAGTAATGTATTACATTAAATTGTTTTACATTTTTGAAGTAGTAATTCCCATAATTTCCTTTTTCATTCTAGTCCGAGGATAATTCATAATAACCGATGGGAGTAATGTTATTTTAAGGATACAATAAAACATTGTTATTACTGCCCTGTTTAATATAGTCATAAAATGAAACATCTATGCTTTCAAGGCGTCAGACTATGAGCGTAAATCACCAACTAAGTGGAACAAGATTACATACATCAGCTTACGGTACTCTACCTGCCGTGGTCTATGTATATTGAGGGTCAAAACACTATAACATGTTATACTCATTGGCATATTTAGCTGTCGGTGTATGCGATAAAATAGAACAATTATCAGAAATCTATCAAACCACATTGCATATAAATACTAATTCGTAATTCAAAATCCGCATATAAATACAAAATTTGCACATAAATACTATTACGTGGTTTTAAATCTGCATATGAATACTAGTGCGTGGTTTCAAATCTGCATATGAATACTAGTGCTGGTGTCAAATCTGCATATGAATACTAGTGCTGGTGTCAAATCTGCATATGAATACTAGTACGTGGTTTAAAATCCACATATGGAAACTAGTGCGTGGTGTCAAATCTGCATATGAATACCAGTGCGTGGTTTCATATATGCATATGAATACTAGTACGTGGTTTAAAATCCACATATGAATACTAGTGCGTGGTTTCAAATCTGCATATGAATACTAGTGCGTGGTTTCAAACCTGCATATGAATACTAGTGCGTAGTTTAAAATCTGCATATAAATACTCTTACGTGGTTTAAAATCTGCATATGAATACGAGTGCGTGGTTTCAAATCTTCATATGAATACTAGTGCGTGGTTTCAAATCTTCATATGAATACTAGTGCGTGGTTTCAAATTTTCATATAAATATTAGTGCGTGGTTTAAAATCTTCATATGAATACTCGTACGTGATTTCAAATATGAATACTAGTACGTGGTTTCAAATCTGCATATGAATACTAGTACGTGGTTTCAAATCTGCATATGAATACTAGTACGTGGTTTAAATTATGTATATGAAGACGAGTGCGTAGTTTAACATCTGCATATGATTACGAGTGCGTGGTTTAACATTTGCATATGAATACGAGTGAGTAGTTTGAAATCTGCATATGAAT